ATCATTAACATTCTAATGAAATGTCATCCATCATACTGAAAATTACAATAAAAATGAAATCTCCACATATTGTAAAAATCAGTACCTCATTTCATCATAATCGATAAACCCAAAAAGAAAATGAATGAGAAAAGATAGCCTAACGACGTCTTCCCAACACCTGGTGGACCAACAAAACACAATACTGGGCCTCTTGCATCTGGTTTGAGCTGAATGACACATTTGAAACCGACATGTCAGATCCAATAATCAAAAGATGATCAATATACCTTGAGCAAAATTTAAAACAACAAAGACATCTACCTTGCGAACAGCTAGATATTCAATTATCCGATGCTTGATCTTCACTAAACCATAGTGGTCACTGTCAAGATGATCTTTTGCAGCCTTTAAGTCCAATTCATGTTCTTCACTAGCCTTTTGCCAGGGAAGGTCAGCAAGAAGATCCAGGTATACATGTGAACTATTATACCCAGGTTGCTGAGGCTGCATTTTTTTCAGTCTCCTATAACAGGAATTTGGTGGGAAAATTTAATGGAGATCCTCCACTAGAGTTGTAATTATGTAAAGAAACATCAAAGCAAGAAAATGCTCAGGATCAAACAAACAAAATCAACAATTTATCAACCAGCAAACAAATGGCAAAAAATCGAATCTACAGACTACAAATCTACAATGTGATTATGTGAAGAAATTACTACATACAAGTTACAACGCTAGGCGCTAGCCAGAGCCCGCGTGCCAGTGTAGCGCCGTAGTGGAGCTGTGGAGTGCAGAGCCAGAGGAAAGGGGATTTCTGTGGACTCAGTGGGCGGACGGTGGACCTGCATCCTGGAGCCTGCGGTCCTGCGGAGGCGAGCAGCGAAGAGCGAACTAGGTGACTCGGCAGCAGAAGTAGAAGCCAGAAGAACTGAAGAAGGGCCAAGAAAGATAAGATTCATGGTGAACTCACCATCTCACCGTCACCGTCACTCACCGGACGTCCGGACTGTGTCACTGTTGAGAGGGGAGTGACGGTGGCTTCACAGTCATGAAAGTCGGAGGCAGTTCATGATTTTTAGATGAATTATTTTGGGAATTTAGGGATTGGATTGGATTTGATTTGGATAAATGGATTGATGGGTTGGGATTTATGTCTAAATGGATTGTTGGGTTGGGATTGGTTTAGTTATTGGATTGGGCATTTCATTTGGGCCGGATGGATTAAACAAAAAAAAAAAAAAAAAAAGAGGGGCGAAAATGAGGCCCCCTAAGATCTTGGGCCTGAGGCGGAGGCCTCATTCGCCTCGGCCCAGGATTGGGCCTGGTTAGAAGACGCAAGCAAAATGAAGAAGGTTGAGAAAGCACTAGCCATTGAACTTTATTTTTTTCTTTTCAAGAATAGTGTTTTTTCAGGAAAGCTTACAAGATATCGCTTAAAAATGATGAAAAAAAAGCCAACATTTTGAACTGCCGCAGATTATAGAATCACCAACATGAAATATTTCAAATCAAATATCTACAGGAACTAGAGACAATTCTAACTATATTTTTAACTGTTAAATTACAGTTATTTTTATAATTCTAGGAAAGACATGTTCAGTATGATGCTCTCAATGATGGGGGGGAAAAGAAAGGGCAACTCGAGTCTGATGCTGGAGTAACATTTCACGCAAGGCAAGTTTGGAGAAGAATAGATGCTTCACTTCTGTATTAGCCTCCAAAATTGATTCATAAATATTATATTTATTATTAAGCTTTCCATTTAAATCAACCATTTCATTTTACCTGTGATACAATCTCTAGAGTGTACAATGTACTTAGACATATTGACTGGAATATATATTAGCCTGAACGCAATTTTGTAACATTGTTCTTTACCTCAGCCAACATGTGGGAAAGATATGCCATTAGAACCATAAGAGCAATTTCACAAACAGTTGAATGTCTGCCAATACAAAGAAATATTTGAATCTGATGAGAGAAAAGATTTGGTACATAACTTTTTTAGGGAAGAAGACCATCGACTTCCTCTCCTTCACATTCATGATGTAGATTAGTCAGGAGTACACGTATGGAAGGAGTAAAAAATATGGAAGTACAGTAAACACAATTGCTCTTGGCTCTTGCCTAATCTACGTTATTCTTACCGATTTATTTCCTTAACAGAATCCAAAGGAGTTTCATAAACAACAGCACTTGTTTAACTCTCGACTTCATACATTCTTCCTTTACCCTCTGATGTGGAACCTCCATTCTTCTAGGCACAAAGAAATTGGTAGTAACAGTCAGGGCCGGTCCTGGGCTGAGGCGAGTGAGGCCCGCGCCTCAGGCCCAGGACCATAGGGGGCCTCGTTTTGTCCAATTAATTTTTTTTTTATATAAAGAAACACGACCAGTTTAAACTGAAAAGCGAGATCGTATACAGCCCCAAGCCCTAACTCAAAATAGCTTCAAAGTTCAACGGGAATCTTCAATCTTGGCCTCTCGTTCACCGTTCACGAAGTGGTGCAAAACTGGAAATAAATCTTTTGATAAATCTTGAGCAAATCCAACGGAGGTGAATCAGGTGACTGGGGTGCTCAATGGCAGGGCCGGTCCTGTTCCTATTCATGATGATAAGTATGTGACTCCTCCCTGCTTTATTTACTTTTTTGAGATTTTGGCTTCCAATTGTTAGACGACCCTATTTTATGGCTTCCTTAATCTTTTGACAATTTGCTAGAACCTTTTTGAATTGTTGAGCTTCTCCACGACATTTGCTGAACGAACATGGCCTGCCATTCTTAACAAAAGGGATATATTTAGGTATTTTAGTAATTAGTATTATATGTTATATTTTAAACATTCAGACAATGGTTGCAGAAATTTGATTATTACAATTTTCATGAGCTCTATTGTCGCTAATTACATATGTGCGAATCTGAATGCAGAGAAGTCTTTCTGGACTTTGATGCTGAAACTCAGTAGAAGGTGAATCAGGTGATGGTGCAGCTTCATTTTCCATCTGGTTGTCGGTTGAAACTTATAACATGAAATAGTTTCACATGGGTAAGTTTAATTTCATTTCCTAGATTTTTTTTACTTTGTATTATTTTTTGTGGATTTATATATAGTTTAATGATTGTTATGGTGAAATTATTGCAAATCTTGTGTTTGATAGAATTCCTCACACAAGCTATAAATATTATTTAAACAAAACAAGCTATAAAAAGTAGGTTAATTCTTTTCTTTATGCCAATCCAACTATTAATTAGTAATTAATTCGAGTTTTTGAGTTCATATAATTGAGAAAAAAGGGTACACGTTGACATCCACGAAAACGAATCTGTTTTCATAATCTAAGATATCTAACTGGTTTATGCCAATTAAATTAAAGCTTGAGGATTCAATTATTTTGGGCATATCATTAGTTATTTGGAAAGAGTAATGATATTTGCAGTCGTTCACTTCATAATCATTTTACGTGACATATAAATAACATTATTCTATTTGGAATGGTGGGTTATTTTTGTCACATATGTGAATTCTCTACAATTTATCAAAAGAAAATATATGAAAAATGTGATGGTATATTTCCACTATGAAAGGTACTATTATTAGAGAGTTGGTGAACCTTTTTATTTAAATTAAATTCTATTTCTAGCAAATTTAAAAATGTTAATACAACTAGATCCTCGCTGCTAAAATAAATGATGTTATTTTAGTCTGCCTGTTTTCTAATATGTTCAATTGATAATTGATATTGAGATGAAAACTGTTCATGTCTATGTATGAATCCTTTTAAAAATTTGAAAAATGTTTATAACAAGAAAGTATTAGGAAAATGAGATTATATAATTTTCACGACAAATGGTAATTTTTAATAAACTTGGTGAATCTTTTTATGGAACTTATTCTCAATATATTTGATTAAATACGTATATATCTTTTCTAGAGTTCAATTTTTATCCGATGGGTACACAAGTTTGACACCAAAATTACTTTCTTTCCTTATTATACAACTTGACGTAATCAAGGTAAAACTCTCATCATATTTTGGTGACCTCTCGATGAGACTCTCAATATTTAAAACGTGAAAGTGTCCCCAAAAGAGCATTTATATTTCAATTTATTTCTCTGCATATCTATTAAAATTATACTAGTATTTTTATGAAAAAGAGTTTATTCATGTCAACGTTTAAATCGTTCCTTTAAAGAAAAGAAAATTTACTTTTCTTATGTAGTAGTAGAGTCAATGTCAATGACTGCTGCCACCAGATTCATTTCATAGAAGCCATCATATAAATTAGATACTATGAGCCCTTAAGTGGTGACAATCAACATGTGCATCCAAACCTAAAATTGGAGTTAGAATTTTGTCAATAAATTGGCTGCTGTTTGGGTTGTTGAGCAGATATTGAGAAGAATGCTTATGAAGCCAAACTGCTTCAAGAATCTTTGAAGGAGGGAAAAAAAAAGTTTTTGACATCATCAAGAATTTTCATCCTTAATGGAACATAAATTTTTAAAGGTCTGTAAAGAGATCTTAATGATACATTGTCTTTCGAATTCCTCTATTAGCCTCTGGGGCTTTAAATTTTTTTCCCTTTCTGTCGAGCTTTCTTGATTCGTGAATTTTCAGATTATTCCTCCTTGGAAGTTCACTACTGTAACTGAGTCAGTTGACACATGTTAATTGATATGATATGGCTTTTGTTTAGCCTTTTGGTTAGTTTGAAGGAACACATTCTTTGTTAGCGCCATTTTCTCTTTTCTCTTTATTTTTATATGTGAGTTCACGTTACTTTTAACCTGTTTAATTAATATCTCATTTAATTTTAGTTTTGTAAGTCATTTGATTATTTTGGTCTTCAGTCAATAAATTTGTGTTATTGGATAATCATCATTTGTGTTATTGGATAATCATTAGCCCTTCAGTTAGACTATCTGTGTAATGTGTTGTTGGATAATCACTTTTTCTATATTACTAATTTGATAAAATATTATGTTGTAAAGGAATCATAATGCAAAATGATTCCATCCATTCATCAAAAGACCCTTTTTATGGGTTCCAATTGATTAGATTACACTTCCTTTTACTCTTTGACATAT